CTGTCGCATCTGTCGCCCGTGCTAGTAGCTCAATCCACTGGTCGGTCGCTCAATCTGGCATTTCGGTGGCCGTCACTCCGGTGGCTCGGTGGCTTGTGCGCGTTCGTGTTCGGCAGGGTGGCTTGGTGTCTCGGGTTTTGCGAGTCTTGACTTGCCATTGTCCGCGGTTGGGATCCGTCATTTGTACTCTCTGCGGCAGGCGCCGAGCACGACAACCACAACAACCGTAGACCCTGCAACTTCGGCCGCATGCAGGTTGCGACGCTGCAAAGACTCACCCGATTCAGACAAGCCGAGGCTTTATTTCGAGGCCTTCAGGACGACGGCTCCAACCAGGTGCCTCGATGTGCCTCATTCCTCGAGCAGCATTCGAAAACACAAGGTTCATCGAAGGTTTGTCCTGCTAGGTGTGCCGCGGCTCGGGCCCAGGACGCCCAGCTGCAGTTGTTTGTGCCTCCTAGTGGATGCAAGCCCCATGCCACGGAGCGCCGCAGTCTTGATCTTCAGACTCGCAGGCGACAACTTGGCAGAGTATTTCACCGCGACCTGGGGGGTCGAGTCTCTGTCCGAGTGTCAGGCCTCCGACTGACGATGGTGTTAAGGGCATACGCAACAGTTAATTCAAAGGTGTCGGAACAGTCAACGCCGGCAAAAGAGATAGCAGCACACAGAAGCCAAGTGATCCCAATCTATGGGCGTCAAGAGTGCCAATGCTGTCAATAGTGTTAGCAGCAGTTCGGAATGGTAATCTGCAGTGAAGTTCATGTAAGCCTGTCAATAGTGTTAGCAGCAGTTCGGAATGGTAATCTGCAGTGAACTTCATGTAAGCATGTATTCAAATGAACCTTCGATGCTCGTACTATTGCCAGTTGGAGGTTTGGTATGTATCTGGCTCGAGTTGTTCGGTTTGTCTACAAGTAGCATAGGCAAGTTGACCGAAGATTTCGAGCATGCAGAGGGCCGGTAGATTTGACACTGCGCAGGCTAGAACCAGGCCAAGCAACAACACAGACAGCAATAAGAAACAAGCGGGAGGACGACATGGTCCCGTCCGGCTGTCGTCACGCTTGCGCCCCAACACTCCACGCCTGGGACAAAAGGCAGTGGTGGTGGAGGTGAAGGTGGTGGTACGTGGTGGTGCGGGTGGTGGTGATGGTCGTTGTCGTCGTGGTAGTTGTCGTCATCGCCGTTTTCTAAAGCAGCGGCAGCAGTCTTCAACATGGTAGTAACAAGAGGGGTCAGAGTGAGCAAGGACATCCAGAGCCACAGAAGGCCGGTCAGTGTTAAGTGCTATGACATGAGTGGCGAAGCGACTGGCTCTAGAACTCGAACGGGAACCGAAGAAGGGTCGCAAGGCAGGGAGGAGCGAGCGGGCCTTGCAGAAAAAGCAGATTGGTGCTCTTCAGATGCCTTTGCCAAAGGAATCTTAAAGCAAACGAAGATTCAGCCGTGCCTGGAAAAGGCGGAGTGTTTGGCGGTTTCCTCCACATGCAACTTGGGATGAACAGATTGATAGTCTTTGGCTCTGTAGATCACAGGCAGTTACTTTCTCGCAGTAGCAGTAGCAGTATGCATCGCTTGAACGTGGGATACATCGATGCATCTGTGAGTTGTGTGCTTTCACAGACATCAGGCAAGGGCATCGAGTTCAATGAGGCTGCTGGCAGATGTGAAGTGTGGATGCCTGCCTGCAATGGATGGGTTCCTGCCGACGATCCAGCAGCTGCTCTAATTGTCAGCAGCGAGCTTGCAGGTGATGAGCGCTTAGCAAGTTTTCTTTTCAATTTCCAAACACGCGTTCCCAACCGTGTCTATGAACTCAGCAATTAGGATCCGGCCAGAGGGGATCGAAGCCACAGTGGCTTCAGATGGAGCCTTGCCACAACTTGTCGTTCTTGATATGGAAGGTGCAGAGTGTAGACCTCGGGTTTGTTCAAGAGAAAACCTGGGCCCCGGCCAAGGTTATCGTTGTCTCGTCTATGTCCCGAACCTTCCGACGACAACGACTGTGGATCCCTCTCTTTTTCAGCCCATTCTGGGTGATGGCACCGGCCAGGTGGAGTGGGGGAGGGCAATTCAGCATCATGCAGACCAGGATCTGCATCCGGCCTTGACAGACTTGGTCGACAGAAATCTTGCCGCGTCACAAGTTGCAGGTCTGCCGTGGTGACAGCATTGGCGACAACCTGGGATCCTTGACCGCACACGGGCTTGATAGTTTCGCAATGTGTCTGTCGGGCCCTTAGGCCCTGGTAATGGTTTCATGTTGAAGTCTTGCAGATGTCCACGGGGTTGGCACAGCTTTCGAGCAGTTTGGGGTTTGTCGATCACATCAAGGGACCATCTAAGAAGCCCGGTTGCAGGCAACCCCTGGTTCGCAGATAAGGCTCCTATTTCACAGTGATCAACTCCTTGGACTCGATTGAAGAGTGCAAGGCATCCTGTGTGCAGGAAGCAGGCTGCAAGGGGACGCCTGGCATGGATTGTATGAGGATCTGAATGAGCGGAGGTTGCATCACGTGGTGCAAGTCCAGATATCCAGCAACGTAACGTCGAACGCCTGCTAGCCTTTTTTCCCCGGAATACCCGCATGCGGTATAGCGGCATCGGCAGTCAGGTGTCAGATGTAGGCGGGTAACACTTCATTTTGATTCTTGCCGTCGCAAATCGCTTGCTGCACACGATGCGTTCACCTCACAAAGTTACTGCGGCGTCCTCTTCCGCCTCCTCTGCCACCAGGACAGAATAACATCTCCTCACTCCCGTTAGGGAGACAGAGAGTGGTGGGAGAGTCCTGGGTTGGGAAAGTCTGACCACGGAAATCGGACCGATGAAACTCGAGGCCGCTGTGCTTAGCTTCTTCGCCCTTGCGCCAGCCATGCTTGCCTTACCAGGGGATGCGGGCAGTCGGGGGCGGGAGTTATGGCTGAAGACTCTTGGTCGGAGTCGGACCAAGCCTGCACCTCATACTCGTAGCTTAGTCGGTCGGGTCCGTGGGACACAAGAGATTCCAAGCACAGTCGCATCATCGTCGATGCACCGATAACCCTAACCGGACCTTGCCAATTCAGGGAAGCTTGATTTCAACAGCTGCGATGTTGTCTTATAGCAGGTTTCAGGAATTTGTTCAGGCCCTAGTGCCAACGCTTTTTGGCGAATCCGTGCGATAGCCTTTCATGTGGAGACGCATCAAAAGCAGAATCAGAACTGGTGCCGATGCGTTGGGAACTGCAAAAGTGTGAATCGTTCTAGAAGTACCTGCATGTCGAGATGAAGCGGATCACGTTAGACCAATGCTGTTGGCTAGAGCTAGATCTGGAATCTGGACACTGGAACGATCGCTGAACAGGTGGCGTTAAGTCTTGCGCATCACACCCTGAAGCACCGAAGCGCTCTGAGGATCGAGTATCACACCAGCGGTCGCTGCCCGCATCCCGGGAGCTGTCAAGTCCATTTCTTTGCGCGAGAACTATGCACTTAAATGAAATGTCTGGACCGTGGACTCTGCCTGCAGGCGAAGTTTGGACAAGACCAGACGGTATCGGCACCACCATGGCGCTGGGGGGCTATACATGCCTTCGCTACGCCACCTGTCTCACATCAGTTCTCGAGTTTCATGCAAAGCACCCCTACGATTCTACCCCTGCCCGAACCACTCGACTCACCTGCACGTGCGACTACCTTGTCGGCGTTGTCAGTTTGACTGTGGACTTATGCTTGCCGTCTCTGTGCCTCAGGTGCCCGAACTTGCCTAGCTGACGGGTGAAACCGTTGTTGATTTGAATTTGGTCTCTGAGGGCAAGCGGATTGACTCGAAACACAAGCTCGGTTGAAGTCAGCTTTGACCGATACTGATCACGAGGTATCTCCTTGTTTCATTGCTTCGTTCAAACCGCTGATCGAAAGCTAGAGCGGCCTGTAATGGCCTTGCAGACTCTCGTCTTGCCTCCTTGGATGCTGCACGATATGGTCGGGGCCGGCTGCACTCCTACATCAAAGAGCCCTTTGCAGGCTAGGCAGTCCAGCACCGGCCAAGAAAACATACAGCTCTGTATAGCCGCTTTGCCTTGCTGTCGACCACTGCACAGTGGGAGCCGGGCCTGTAATCTGACTGGGAACTAGGGTCAGAAACGATACCCACAAGACGATCAGCTCGTGCTCCAGCGGCAGGATGTGGACAGAAGGCGGGGCACCCACAATTAAGGCGACTGTCGCGTCTCGCAGCTCTCCCAAGTCTAGGTACAGATCTTGCTGTGACGAAGACGTAGTCCCTGGTACCAGTCAAGCAGAGGTGAGATCTCGAGAGTGACAGCTCTTTCGCCTCGCATGCCTTGCGGACGGGAGTCAAGCCGAGTCCAGCCCTAGTGGCCCCAGTACTAGCGGATCGCCAGCCTGCAAGACTCGAAGACTCAAGACACGCGCCCGCAAGCCGCTAGCCCCTGCGTCATATTCTGTGTTTGAGCCCGTTTGAGCCTCAACGTGAGGTGTGTGACAGCCAGAAGCAAAGCTGCACCCTCCCCGAGGCTGACCCGCCAGAGCTCAGCTCAGATTATGGTTTAGGTACGTCCTGGAGCGACTCACGCCATGATCATGATGGCCACGCGGAATGTCCAAGATGCGAATCTATTGACTTTTCGGGGGCATTAGATTGCAGTCGTAACGACTCCAAGTCACGGTGCAGGGCACAAGTATTGAGACAGACAGGTATTAGGGGGAACATGGTGCGCAGTTCAAGCAAATAAGTTTTGCCAAAGAAAAACAAAGTCTGGGATCTGAGGCTTTCTCTATAGTGTCTGCAAGAGATAGCAGGGCCACTGGTGAGGTCTCGCTGTATAGTTCGCGCTCTGTTCGTGCTGGCCTGTCGCAGCTCAAAGCAAGACAGCCCGAGGGTCAGCAGCACCCATCGTACCGGTTGGAAACAGTGCAGCGTCGCTGTGTCTGAGTTTGGAGGACTTTGACAGGTCGTCAGCTCCAAAGATTCCTGTTCCTCATCCTGCGAGGAGGAGGAAGAATTCTTGATGATTAACTCCTGGCAACGAGAGGTCCTTCATGAAGCGTGTGGCGTTGAAAGCAGAAGTAGGCCGGCCGCGCATTCATCTAAGCCTGGGCGCCTTATGTCAGGATCCAGACTCGGACCGTTGTGGTGCGGCAAAGGATCCCCTAACTTTGGAACAGCTGTTGTGGCCAGCAGCTTACGATACGCCAAGTCGAGCTACTTCGCGTTTCTAGGCTTGACATTGGCTTGACATGTTCGTGCACCCTGGGGGTTCCTTGCAGGGTGGAAACCATCCATGCGCTGTCAGACACTGCACCTTGCGCAGAGGCCCTTTGCTAGCTAGGTTGGTTCGGTTGAAAATGCAGAACACTGCAAGCGAGCGGATACGTGACATTCATCGATCAGCCTTCAAGGTGCCAGTACCTGCCCTGCGGCTCAAGCTGTCTGATGAGGGTCACACTGGCATGTTCCTGCAGCTGAGGGGCATGTGCAGCTTGCCTTCTGCCGACATTGAAGTGAGCTCTGTCCAAGCGGTCCTGGCGAGGTGTGGCCTCTGCTGAAGACCTCCTGGATGGGCCATCCGAGCTCGCAGGGGACGCAGAAGCGGTGGCGAAATAAGAGTTTCTTCCACGATATTCTGAGGGCGCAGGAGTTCCTCCAGACGAAGCACCACGCCTTGCTTCGCTTGCCTTCCTTCGGCAGCTCTTCGGCAGCACTCAGAAAGTCAGACATGCTTGAGTACCATAGGGGAATTTCTCATGCAGGGTGGCTTCAGATGTCGTTCCAAGCAGCGCACAAAACTGCATCTCTAAAGCTGCCGAAGGTATGCTACCAAAGCCGTGCTGCAGGAAGAGGCGGGCGCATGCAATTGGAGGCTTTCGTTGCAACATTTGCAATGACAGACTGTAGCGCCCAACATAACAATGCCAGACGCCGTGAGATGCCGCACGACGCCGGATACACACCGCACCGCAGCCGGATGGCTCCAGCCGTGCTTCTGCGCTTCGCGTGCCGTATGGCATGGAGCCCCAAGCAGCTCAGCCGAGTGAGAGGAGGGCGGCCGGGCAGAACAGTCGCTTTTGTAATCCCGCGCGGTCCAAGGACGGAAGAATGGATTTCGACGTGGATCAGATTCCGGTGCCTCGGCGCGCAGGATCTTCGAAGGCATCTTTGCCTTTCATGTATATTCGGAGATTTCAGAAAGCAACTTCCGAAAAGCGGAAAACCAGCTAGCGGCTTTAACAACAGATTGGCAAAGGACCCAGGACTTGACTGAGGGGTTTGGGCAGTCAGGATTTATTGGTTAAGGCTGTAGGGTTCAGGATTATTTCTGCGAGAGTTTTCTGAATTTGCTTCTCGTCTTGTCCGACTTTGCTGTCTTGATTTGTTGAAAAAATGGCCTCACTTTTGAATTGGAGCCCCGTGTTTGTCGTGCACTAACATCCTAGAGCTCTACATCTTGAGCGCACAACCGCAAGCTTTAATTTCTGTTTGCGTGTCTTCCGAGATAGCAGACTTCTGCCTCTGTCTCGCAGAGCCGAGCGGAAAGCTACGGGTCCATTCATCGTCGTGCAACGCTGCTCTTGTGGTCACATAGCGTAGATGTGCCAACTGCCTAAAGCTTCTGGTTTGCAGTTGAGGTCAGAGGGACGTTCATCCATTTCTCGCTTGTGAGAGCGGCCGATGAAGTCGTACAGCCTCGCTCGATGACGTGTCACGCAGACTACACGGCCAGCACTTGCTCCAGCCTGGAGGACTTGCCGGCTTTCGTCCCTTTGCTGACATCTGACTGCATCCCTGCTGAAGGGTAGTTAGGCAGTAGTAGGCAGTAGCCCTTCCGAGGTCTTCCAAGTGACTCCAGAGGACTTCGAGAGCGGCCAGAGCGGCCCTCCGACAAGCACCCTGCCTTTGACCGCCGTCCAAGGCCACACCCCCCTGAGTGCCATTGACGACGACGAGAGCGAAAACCCAAACCCCCGCGAGCTCCAGGGTGTGCCAGAGCTCGCGAATTTTCCGCAAAACGCGGGTTACTCCCAGCCATCACAGCAGCCGCAGCCTGCCTGCTCGGAGACTTCGGACGCCTGGGAACCGCGTCGTATCAACAAGGATCCTTCGCATGCGCTTCGTCTTTCGTCTCTTGTCCTAAGTTCCCTTAGGATTGCTTCCTTGCAGGAGCTGCTCAAGGTGTCGAAGACTGGGGAGCCGCAGTGCGCATTCAAGGCAGGGAGCAATGTAGAGCGACCGTGGGGCGACACACTGCGCTTGTGGCGTTGCAGGTCCTGGAATTGTCCGAGACGCATATGTACGAGATGAACGGGGTGAACTTGTCCACCGCACTGCACCGCATTGCGAAGGCAAGCAGGGAAGATTGTAACATGGATGTGCCTTGCATTCGCAGAATCTGATCTCTGTCTCTTTCATTTCGAGTGTAGCTGACGAGCTCCGTGTGAGGTGTGTCAAAACACCCCTGTGGCAGAGGAGGCGCGTGGGGCAAGAGACTAAGAGACTCGGCTCTTCCGCTCAGCCGGCACTTCGTAAGTGGTCCTCCGCCTCCGTCTGACTCTTCATTTCTCTCTGCTCGATCTTTCGCCGGCCTCTCCTTCTGGGGAGGGCCCTTGCTGCAGTCTCTTCGAGCTGCATTATATTGGTCGAGTCAGCTGCGTAAGTTAACCGCAGAGTCACAGGATTGCAATCTAGGGCCTCTAGTCGTTGGGCTCGTGGCACTGGTATCTTCATGACGAAGATGGATGAGGGGCCCAGGAGCTTGTTCGCCTCTTGCTACCACTTTTGTCTTCATTCGTGGTTGGCCCAGTTCTTATAATCCGACGGCTTTCCACCATTCCGGAAATGGTGCGAGGATCCATAGTCAAGCAATGCTGGCGCTTCTACAATCTGCATGACGTCCTTTGTACATGTTCTTCCTTGTGGGGCGAGGGGCAGAACACCTGATGAGCATCTGATCAACATGACTTGCCCGGCAATGCTGACTCGCAGTCCTTAGAGATAGGGGCGACCTGAAGGTCATCCAAACCAAGTTTCTTTTAAGCCATGTGCGGAGCATCGGTGAAGATAGGCACGGCACAGGTCAAGGGAAACGGTGTCTTCCAGTTCCTGGTGGTGTTTGCCTTAGTGCAGAGCCAGTGAAGCAGTGGTGCATGTGCTGCATGTGCATCAAGTCCCTTCTGAAGTCGACCGAGGACGTGGCCGAGAACATGACCGAGCACGAGCTACAGAACCAAGACGGTACCATGCCAGTCAGCTGCAGCACCATAATCGCATGGTCTTGCGCCAGCCTGCGGGTCTTCCGACCCCGCTTTTTCGCGTGTCTCGGGCTTGTCGCTTCACGCGACCTTGGCAGCTGTCAGAGCTACGAGATCACCAACATGCTTTGGGCATTCGCAGAGCTCTGCAAGCGCGAGCCGCAGATGATGGAGTACATGAGCACGAGCATCGCATTGGTTTGCGAGGCAACGGCTTTGGTGTTCCAAAGCCGTCCTCGATCCGCGTGGAAATTTCCAGTCCTTGTCTCTGCGTTGGTGTCGCTCTCGAAGCTTCCGTTCATCACGGAGTCGAATCGTGATTGGAGTCATGGGCTCGTCATGCGGATCGCGAAGGAGCTCGCCTTGTCCGAGAATGACGCTAGGCCACAACAGCGCGTGCCTCTTGTACAGGCTTTCGATGCCTTTCGCACCTCCCATCCTGAGGCCAGACTCAGATTTCACAAAACCAAGTTCATTATTGTTCTCTTGCAATCCCCTGAAGTAGATTCAGACAGATTCCGTTTCTTGGCCAGGTGTTTCAGTCAATGTGTCTGGCGGTGAATCCCATCAGCCCCACCTTCCAGGCCTCCTATATGTTCGGCGGCCCAGGCTCCGATGCCCACGCCATCCCACGCCATGTTATCTGCTTTTCGCTCTTCTTTGGCCCCCTGGCCCTGCAGTGCCCTGCAGGTTCCAAGCCCGCAGCATCGTCGAAGCATCTGGAGCCGTTCGTCGCTCGGGCCCACGGTCCGAAGACGGTGGTCAGCTGAAGGAAGTGAAGTTCTGAAGGAAAGGTCAACGTTGCGTCCTTGCGTCCGCGCCTGCAGGCTTGCAGGCTTGCAGGCTTGCCAGGGCAGGCCTTTGCCCAGGTTCCCGCTCGGCAGGAGTTGCCGGGTCGAGCAGTGACGGGTGCGAGAGATTCTAATTCTACTTTGGATTTGTGATCAGAGAAGCACCATGCCCGTGTTTCTTTGAGAAATACATGTGTTTCCGACTTTCCACAGCAGTGCAAAGCACTGACTGAAGGCTGTGCCACATACAGTCCTTGGCTTTGAACATGTGTATGTTTTACGTATGCATGAAGCTATACTTGTGTTCAAGAGAGACTATGCGACAAGCCCAAGCAGTTTCGGCTGCACCGTCCAACTTCGACACCAAGGGTGCAGGTGGGACTCTGCAGGTGCGAATTTTCAAGTCCAGGTCGAGATGATGTTGCCGAGAGCACAGTGAATTCTGTTTGGAGGTCCAGAGGACTGGCATGCGACGCACCCGCAGGAAAACTTGAGCGAGGGTGCAACGGAAACGCTTATCCATATTTGGTATCCATGTTTTTCGATCCTCTCCTTGCATGCAACGCTCCGAGTTGCTGCCGTGGCTACTGCCAAATGGGGGCACTTTCCGCGTGTTTAGCGTCGAGCTCACCACCTGCGAAGGCTCGGCTTCCTGCAGGCTTCCAGATTCCCACTTCCAGTCATTCCAGTCTTGTCGGCGTGGTTTTTCTCTTTTCAGGCGGTTCGCCTCTCAAATCGCTAAGACCGCCGAAGCAGTGGCCCCGAATGTCAGCCTACGCAGGGCTCCTCTCGATTCGTTTTTGATTGCTCGCAAGGCCAAGAAGTCTTGACGATCTGTTCAGCGAGTCCCCAGATTTTCGCAAGCGTGGGCCACAGCTGCTGTTTCGGAGTGGCCTTGTGGTTCTGGCGTCGTGCTGGGAAGATGATGGGGGGCGAGCGCAGGTGGGGAAGGTTCTACTGGGCATATCGGAGTGTTCAAAACGCGTGCCGAATCCTTTGCGGTTGGAGTCGCACTCAACCGCGCATGGCTCGGTGATGGCGGTCTCACCACAGCCGAGCTCTGCCAAAACCGATAGAACTTGCGCACATCAGGCAGAGGCACTTTGAAAGCCATACGCCTGGATTGCCTCCGATCTGCGATCGCGGCCCGGGCTAGAATACGGTGTTCGGGAATCGGAAATCTGAGATGTTTGATGCCACGCATGACCCCGCTGCGGACGAGGTTGAGGCCCCGGGCTGGTAGTCGCCAGGGCAGGTCTTGTTCGAGGACAGTTTCGATGGGACTCATCACGAACCTTCGCTGAGCGCTCCCCGTAATGTCTCATGACTACACAGTACGTCTCTTGTTTGTCAGGCGTTGCCAAAACACACTCCTTGTCGTCGCCAGTTCTCAGGCCTTCTCATTTTGCCTGTGGCGTGGATGACGAGAATTTTCCAGAGGGCAAAGAGGAAGATCCGCTGATGAGGTGCCCTGCCTTGCCATGCACTCACTTAAATCTGTGTCTTTTCAAGACGCTGATGGCTTGAACCGTCCTTAAGCGTCACTGCGAAGATAAGAAGCAAGGCGATCGTGAGCAGAGTCTAAGTCCTCTCGAAAGCCCCTGTTCAACATGTGCCTGGCGTCCTCACATCGGCTCGGGCAGAGGTCGGCGGTTCACCATCCTCAGATGAGCTCCAGCACCATCTCACGACACTGTCACAAGCATGGCTCCAGTATTCGTACCATGATCCAAAGCAATCGAGCACCATCGGAGAGCAGCCCGCCGCGGTGGAACGGCTTTGGAGAGACACACAAGAGGGCCGGGCGTGTCTTTGTGTGTTCGTGAAGGTACGACCTCACCTCGGTGATCCTTCTCGCGGAGCAAACAGGCCGGACCCTAGCTCAAACTCCGAGCGAAAGGCAAGAGTCTATGGATCGAGCACTCCTCGAGCTCGCTCTGTCTTACTCTCTCTCGCTCTCCATCTCTCTCTCCCTGTTTCTTTGTCTCCTGCTTTCTGCGGCTGCGGGCTGCGGCTTTTTGCGGTCAGGATTCTTGCTGGCCTTCCATTGCCTACAGGCCGGCCTCACGAAGCAAGCGGCTGAGGAGATCCGTCGCTGTGCCAGGTCCGAGACCCCTGCTCGGTGTGACTGGCGCGAAGGCTGCGTCCTCAGAAATTCCAGGAGCAAGAGCGGTTTCTTGGCGAATTTTTCATGCCCACAGATGCCTTCTCATGCTTGCTGTGACTGCTATAAGACACGCCGTCTGCGTGAACTTGGCCAGGCTTGAAGAGCACAACCTCCAAACACACGCGCGATCTGCATGCACGTTGTTCCCGCATTGGATTCGTGCAGCCCGGTACACATGCAGTAGGTTGGAAGAAACCTAAGGCCTAAGGATTTGATGCGATGGCAGGCTTGTGACATTGTGAGAGCTGCCGCTGTGGTCGCGAGTTCGTAACTTGCTATGCTGTGAGTTCCCCTGGTTGACTCGCTCAGCCGAGTCTCAGACCAATGACAGGGACCGGGCAATTCGCAATCCACAGAAGCCAAGCTTAGCATGACACATATGCCATTATGCACACGAGCCCTGTCACAAGCGCACAGAGGGGAGATACATCCGGTGTGGAAACTCCACGGCGACCTGTGGGGTGCCGCACCTGCTTTGGTGGAAACGCCACGCTGTCGTCGAGCGAGTCGAGCGTGCTGCGCCATGTTCAGCAAAACGAGCGAAAGGACTAACCAGACTCTAATCTGCAGCGTACACCCCATTCGAGCTTCGTGGCATCTCACACAACATGCATCCAACCATGCCTGCTTGTCAAACGACCTACGTTCGAGGCACACGACAACAACGACTGGTTTGTGAACTTGCTTAGCAGCCATAAGAACGAAGGAGTCGTTTGCATCGTAGCCGTCACACTCTTCCCGGCAACCAACAGTCGAATACGATAGTCCCATAGTTTGGAAGCGTAGGCCCGTGGCTTTGTTCCGCCGCTGGACAAAACATCAACCTGACCGAGAGAGCGAGTGCTATCGCAGAAACGTCTGTAAACATGACGAGTTCAACATGCACAGGAGCCGTCTGAGAGGTTCTGCAACGTTCTTCTCCGGACCTGTGTGAATGCGAGCAGTGCTTGTGTGTTGATGTTCTCGTTCTACTCATAGCAGCACCCCGTGTAGCTTGAGCACGTCCGCCCGTTGTTGATTCACTTGTCATCTTGTGCATGGGGCAAGATTCAGGTACTGAACCTGAAAGGTGTCCGAGCGAGCTGGCAGAGGCTTTCACGATGTCCTAGCATCAAATAGAACAAGCCGCATCATCATGTTCAAAATGCACGAAATCATAAGGATCATGAGGCCTGAAAAGTCCCTCAGACTTCTATCGCGAAGGTGGCACCTCGGGACGCCAGGCGGAACGTGTGCACGGCCTGACTTGTGTTTGGCCCAAAGAGGCCGGGGTGAACAGAATTCCAAACTCCGCCACGGCAGGATGCAAAATCATATGGTTGCTGTGCTGGTTTTCCAACCTGTATGCAGTCACTTTCCGCTAATTAGTGTGACTGTGACGGGCAGAAGTTGAATGACTCAATTTGCGTTCCACCGCGGCCGTGTGGGCTCGCAGTTGCCGGCGCACCTTCTACTGGAATACAGCCAGGCCGCTGATTGCGACGGCACGTACTTTCGGTAGATTCTGCGATGAGAGCGAAGACTTTCTGGGATTTTTTGATAGCACAATCCCAGAAAGTCAGAAGCGGCTGGACCCTGCTATGGCAGATGTGCAGAAAAAAGCGCTAGCTGTAAGGTGCGTTGTGGGCCAATTCATAGTCAGTGGCTCAGGCGTTCAGCCAAGTTCCGTGAGAGTTCAAGATCGAAACGCACCACGTCTCCTGAGGCATGAGCTTCTTGTCCAGGAGCGAGTACGACCGCGGTGTTTGGGCCTTGCTTGACCGAAAGATTCGAAGCGAACGAGTTGAGCAGAGAGGGGTTTCCTTGGAGTCGACGTGGCGACGTGTTGAGGTCAACACCTTCTCGCCCGAAGGCCGGCTCTTCCAGGCCTGCTTTGACTTTAGAGAGAAGCGAAGAGGCGAAGCGCGGAGAGCAAAGCCTCCGTTTCTCACGTATTCGAGGTCGAGTATGCCATCGAAGCCATCAAGCAAGAGGGCTCAGCAGCCTTCGCGAAAGGAAAGCTCATAACGGCTTCTTGTGTTAAGAGATAAGAAATCCAGCCGCCTTTGTGTAAGGCTCGGCTCCACAGCAATTGGCGTATGCACGAAGGAAGGCGTCGCAGCCTGAGTTTGCACACTGCGTCGGCTTTGTTCATCTTTAGCGAGTATGGCCTAAACCGAAGTCGAAGTGTGGCTCAATCAATGCTGTTCATAGCTCGGCTTTGCGCAAAACGTCGGGGCTTGGAGACGGACTTCAGCAGTGTAACGACACTCGCATGTTCCAGTGTTTGCGTATCCGAGCTATCGATGTTTGCATAGGACGAGTGAAGCGAACAAGCCATCCGATTTGGAGTGGATACTTCCCATCTTGATCTTTGTTACATATCATTGCTCTCGGTTGCTAGACTCTGAACCGCATGGCTGAGGTTATCCTGGTCGTCGAGAAGAGGCCCTGATGCCTAAAGTGCTTCGCATTAGAGAGGAACGAAGGAACGGTGAAGCCCAGCGGATTCTCAGGGTGACTTCTCCACTGGTGGATCCCTCTTCCATTGAGAAGCTCCTAGCCTCTCGGCACTGCCGGAGTTTGCAAGCGCACGTAGGTGCTGATAGGACCTTTTGAAACACTGCACGGCAACAGTTGAGCCTGACCCGGTGTAGGCAGGTCTTTCTCGGCTAGGAGGCTGCTAGCGCAAACAAGAACAGAACATGCAGCTCAGCAGCAGCGATGTGCAAAGGAGATTGATTGTCACATGGGCCGGGTGCTCGGTCGGTTTGTCTCAGACTGCTTCGTCATGCGTTCGCTGTGCTAAGAGTCCTAGGCTGTGCCATGAGCGGCCTCACCGCAGATGCCCGCACTCTCGTTGACCATGCCAGAGTGGAAGCGCAGGCCAGTGTTCCTCGATCTCATGGAAGAAATTCCTGAACATGGCCAGATCCACGCAATAGTGCGGACGAGCCGAGTGCGTTGGCACCACGTGAACAACCTGGCAGGCGCATTGGTTCACGTACGACGAGCGCATGCCGATTGAAAGCAATGTTAATGTCGTTGCCTCAATTTATGAAGTGCAAAATCAGAGTCTCAGCCGAGTTTCCGCGGGTTTGATGCGCGCATCGAGAGAGGCGGTTGTTGGTCCAGAATCTGCCTTTGTAAAGTGGCCAGGATTGAGAGCCGTTGCTCGACGTCAGAATGCCAGCGTGGCTTCTGAGGCCATTGCCGACATGGCATTGGACTTCAGCGACTCCGACAAGACTCTGGGATGGCAAGTGGTTCTCTAGACCGTTCACCCCGCAGTCCATACCGTTGGCGGGCTTGCTTGCAAGATCTCCGCTAACACTCAAAGTTCGGTCTAAGATCCCCAACACATGGCCACAAGCCACAAAGGAAGAAGAAAACGATGAGCCGTCCGTTTGGAGTCGAGATCTGAGTACTGTCAGGCTGCGCGTTTTGCATGGATCGCCAAGACTTGCATGTTTGGGAGTTGTTTATCTGAGAGATACAGATGGGCGGCTTGTTGGATTCGACACGGGATTTAAGCCTCAAGCATGGCATCCCGCCCAGGTGGCACTTCTGGTGGCGGGCGTCGACCCTTGGGACGGTCCTGTGCTCTTCAACACGGACCGTGGGGAGGGCTTGATACATCGACAATTATGCCCTCCGACTCCCACGTCCTGCTCTTGGAAGTTGAGATGAACCTGTGTCTTGTCAGGCTACTGCCAAATCCCAGAATTGCGGGGTTTAGCTCCAAATCCATTGATCTGCAGTGGAGAGTGCTGTGAAGACTTCGAAGAGCCTCTGCACTCTGAGTGCTTCCCCAAAGCTTGGCATTGTCAGCCGGGGTCGGTGGAGCTTGCTTTGAGCCTTCGTCAGACTGATGCCTGCGGGAGGATCCATCAGGAACTTTCACGAAGTATGCGGCTGGCCTGAAAGCCCCAGGGGCCTTGGGATCGAAGCATGGGCAGATGGGCGGATGCTGTCGCTTCGAAACTAAGGCTGCATGCGCAATTGGGAGCGCCCAAGAGGGCGCGACGAGCATGCTGCAGGATTTGAAGATGTTTGGAGTGAGCGGGCTGATGTTTGCATTGCAGCTGCGCCAGAAGCCGGAAGAAGCCCTTCTTTTTCTTCTTATTCTTCTTCTTCTGTCGATGTGTGCTCGAGTTCCTGGCGGAGCGCGCTTCTTCATCTGCTGGCAGGAGCAGTACAACAAGGATATGACATTGAAGGAGGCAGAGATCTTGGCCTTGACGACGCTCCGCCAGGCAGAGCGGCCTCGTAGCATTTGTTGCTATCGGAGGGCTTAGGAGACGCAGCTTTGTTCAGGTCATGGAGGAGAAGCTGAGTAAAGTGAACATCGAGGTAGGGGTGGTTCCAACATCCACTGGAAAGCCGGGAGCCTTGCGAACACCTCAACGTCTAACTTGGCCTTACCTGGTGCTCTGCAGCACAGGTTCCGCTGCTACAACGCCGAGGAGTTGGAAGATGTAATCTCGCGCCTGTGGGGTCGCTCAGCGGTCGCCACCCTCACACGGCTTGTCGGTTGTGGTTCAATTCAACTAGACGTGTAGCGACACTTGCATGCTGCGGGTTGCAGGAATCGCGCATCGCTATGAATTCTGTGTAATCTGTGGCTGTTCAGCCGGAAGCAGGAGAGCACACCCAAGCCCAACAATAAGGCCAGCGCCAACCGTGCCGACGCTGCAGACAGCGGCGGCGGCACCAGGCCGGGATCCACCATCAAGCAATTTACCAAATCTTTGAGGCCGCTGAAGGCAGACAATCCCTAGACACTTTTACGACATGTTGCACATCCTGCTGATGCAACAGAAGCAGGCTCCATGCGAGGCAAGGTTGTGATTGTACAGGTCGAGGCGATCTCTCATACGGAGCGTGATGAGGCAGGCTGTTTGATTAGGTTCGTGTCGCTTCTCGAGACACCGGCATAGACTCTCAGACGGCCTGGCTCATCTTGGCCGCCTCTGCACTTTGAGGTGCGTCCTGGTTGGCTGAACATCGAGTCAGGATGAGCGCATTCACAGAGCTCAGGAGACGAACGAGTAAAAGCACTGCGCTTTGCATGCAGAAGGAACACTGCGTGTGTCCGTGTAGCAGAACGCTGTTCGGCTGCAGTAGCGTTTCTGCTCACAATACTAACTTCAAGGCAACCTGATACATGCAGCCGGTTGGGATCCCAAGTACTCGAATCGGATCATTTCTTGATTCGAGTTGGGTCGTAGATGTTCGAAGGCCTTTTCAACCTCCAACTTCGTTCCTCATGGCCCATGCGGGCAGCTGCGGCTGCTTCGCTTCGGGCCCTTCGCCAGGACCTGCGGAATTCCGAGAGGATCTCGAGGCTGTTGCGTTTATGCAGAGGAGCATGGGGCGGGGGCCGTTCCCGTCGCCTTGCTGCTTGGCGACTGCGAGGTCGGGGTTTCCTTTCGGGATTGAGCCTCTTCTCCAGTATTGATCTCCTCGCAGTCAGGTGCGCGCTCGACTGCGAAGGCATTTGGGCGGTTCCGAGGGGTCTGCAGAGTTGGGCGCAGTGGTCGCCTCACAGCTTCCGGGCTGCAGAAGTCAGTTTGGGTGTCCTTCCCCTCTCTCTCTCTCTCTCGCTCGCTCCGTCTCTCTGTGTCCGGAGGGCTTCATCAACAAGCTGTTGAGGGCCCAACAACCAAGCGGTCGTAACCCCTACTCTCGAGGACCTCGCGATCTCCGATGTGCTATAGACCTGTTGTCCTATAGGCAGTAGCCCAGGCTTCCCGGGCTGATCATCATCGAACCTGCCGACCTCCTGGGTGCCACCGAGGCCATCACGGCGACCCTTTAGGAGTCTGAAATTTGGGTGTTCTCGCGAGGTCACGGAGCTCGCGACCTTTCTTCGAGGACTTCAGGCCAGGTCGCTATAGGCGAGCTGCGTTTTAAACTGGCTTCGCATGTCCAAGCGGGGCGCAGACAGCTCACGGGCTGATCCTCTGCGCAGACGGCGGACCGCCAGAGCAGCTCGGGTTGCTGGCGAGTGGCTTGCCGAAGCAGAAGGGTCCTGGGGGCTTTAGCCGTAGCATGAGGAGATTTGCTGTTGCCTCCTCGCGGTTTCATTCTTCCAGCTTCGTGGGCAACTTTCACGCAGCCACAACCTGCAAGAGCGAAAGCACCGCAACGAGTTCGGCAAGAGAATCAGACAGTACCGTGGCGCCATGCAAGCCGAACAACTTCAAACCGACAATGGGGTGCTTTCGCTCTTGCAGGTTTCTACGGAGTCAGCGCAGCCCTCAGCACAGCCGGCCGTCTGGGCTCCCTCTGCATGCGAGCCTCTGCACAGCATCGTGCTGCAGTGGTGGACCCGAGCCACATGCGAAGCCGCTACCTCGGCCTCGGCCAGGTGGCCCTGCTCTGGCAAGCTTCGCCGTGCTATGTGGACCGGGCGGACTGGGACTAGCATCTCCGGAGATGAGGCGAGGCCCGCGACGGCACGGCAAACCCCAAACGAGCGGCTGCAGGCTGCTGTTCGGAAACTCTGTTGAAGAATGCAAACCTCAGGCAAGCTGTGAACCACTTCGTGGAGACCGACTCCTTGCCTGCTTTCGACTCCGAGGATCCGCAGGCAGAGCGGCAGAGCGGCAGAGCTGATGAAGGGGGGGCGTTTGTGCTTTTGCACCTTCTCTCTCACTGGACAGTTTGCCGAGCAGCTCATCCGGCTACTCCACCAACGAGAGCCCCGAGGTGACTTCCTGGGGCGAGGTTTGGAGGTCAAGGAGTGTAGTGCAGCCCAGTTCCAGTACTGGTAGCCTCGCAAGCCAAGATTGCGAGCCCTTGCGCTGTGACAGCGAGCTGCTAGCGCCGTACCGAAGTCCGGTCCTTGGCTGTCCTCTGTCTTGGGCAACGTGAAGGGTCTAAGGCATTCGCCAGCAATTGGGCACAAGACCGCTGCCAGAAAGGCAGCAGACATCGAAGAGCCCATCCGATACTGTTTTCGCATGGCAGTCCCTCCTTCCCACAGGCGATGTGCAGACCTGGCACAATCCTCATCAGATTCATCGCCGTCACCCTCGTCACAGTCGCAGACGCGAGTGGATGCACAGCCTGCGGGGTGCCATTGCCCGACCGGAGCATGCGCCGAGGACTCTACTCGCAGCTAGACAGTGCTGGTTTTTGGCAAGACCGGTGCGGGCAAAAGCCATCTGGGCAACTTGATCCTAGGCTGGAAACTGCTGCGCTCGAGCTTCTAGTCAGGGGAGGTTGCAAGTTGCAGGCATCATGATGGTTTCCGGGCCTGCGTTGAAGAGTGCCGCCATCGGAGGAAAACAACTCAGGCCTCTTCTGCAACAGAAATGGCAAAAGTTCACAAATCCTGCCGCCAGTCGCATCAGCAAAGCTCCACGATCTGCTCAAACTGCCAGAAGCCATGTGCGGTGGAGGAAGTGTGCGTGGCTTTCAACAGGAGGAAGCTGCCACCATGGCAGAGGGAGATGATGGGAGAAATGTGCAACTGATCGACTTGTGTGAAACAGTCCTGTGCTGCGCATCGTGCTCTGCTTGTGCAGGCCGCGAGGTGTTCGCCTCGGGTGACTCGCTCGCTTCCGTGACTTCAAGCGAGTCGGTGCCTGGACTAAGCTCAGAGCGGCGCAGATGGCTTGCGGCTTGCGGCTTGGCAGCCGAGGTGCGCAAAGCGACATCCCAGGATCCACCGTCCAAGCACAGAGCTGTCACTATCCGAAAGCGCTCGAAAGGACGGTCGCCTCACCGTCCTTGACACCATCGGGTTTGGTGATACGGTGATACGCGTCTTCCACCAGAGGTCCAAGGCTCAGCAAGAGGGCCGACATGGGTTCATCCTTCTGTCTTCCAGTTCTGAGTCTTTCCGCTCTCCGTCTCAAAGCGTTTGCATGCCCACCACTTGCTCAAGCCCGGTCCCACCTTTCTTGCGCACCAGAACGGAGAGAGGTTCGTTGCGATGGCTTAGCACCTGGACTCGCGCCCCGTCTCGCGGCTGCAGCCGAAGGAGTCAAAGCTGCCACCGCGATGCTGCGATGCTGGTGGTGATGTCTGCTGCGGCTGCTGCGGGAATCGCTGCCCCAACGGTCTCTTGCCACCTCATTACCCTGTCAGCTACTGCCAAGCCTGCCAAGCTCAAAGAACCGGCATGAACCGACCATTTTGTTGGCACCCCGGTTCCGTGCAAGGTGGTCGTACGAAGCTTGCGAGACACTGCTTTGGAGGCAAGGGCAAGGGCCAAGGGAGTGCAAGTACGTGCAGTAAGCATCTCGAAGCACTGGTGTTTAGATTGAGTGACTTTGCGAAATTCGGGGTTCGAGGTTTGCCAATCCACACAGACCAGTGTCGAGCCTTACCATGAGTCTTCACCTAGTGCAGTCTGCCTGGCTTTACGTTACACTGGCCTCCGTGCAGCCGCTGCTATTTTTGTCTCCAACAACACAGTGCAACGAAGGGCAGCCAGCCCAGCAAGACGAGGCCCTCAGACCAGCCCGACGAAGTTTCCGAGCAGAGGTAGTCGCAATTGCTCACTCTCATTTCGCATTAACGTGGCTTGCCATGGGCGACACCGCGAACGCAAAGAAGAAGGCCGGATGGGAAGTGGGTCGACATCGGTGGAGTTCCTTAGTCCTTACCGAGGACCCGAAGCCGAAGGAACCCGGGGCGAAGGCCTGGCCGGTCTCCTGGCGCCACCACTGCCTGCTGCATTCTCCTGCTTTCTCCTCTCGTCTTTTTCAACTCATGGCGGAGGCGGCAAAGCCTTCTGAGAAGAAAGATGTCAAGCCTTCTGGCTGCACTTGTCCCGTCCCGAAGGTATGCCTCATGGTGTTGCAAGAATTGCTCTGAGGAAGACCATAGACAAGAAGGATGCCAAGGACGGCAAAGCCAAGGAGGAGAAGCCGAAGGCCAAAATAGACGACAAGTCTAAGGCAAAGACCGAGAAGCCAAAGCCCAAGGATGAGAAGTCCAAGGCGAAGGCTGACGAGAAGCCTAAGGTCAAGGCCAAGGTCGACGACAAGTCGAAGCCCAAAACGGAGGACAAGTCCAAGGCCAAGGCTGATGAGAAGTCGAAGCCGAAGACTGACGAGAAGTCGAAGGCCAAAGACAGCAAGGCCGGGGAGTGGCCTGTCGTGCGCGCCGCGCGTGCGATGATTGCTTTGGGACTCACGTAGAGAGGGCCGATCATCCCGAGTCCCTGCCTGTAATTCTCAGGACACAACGTTAGGAAAACTCTTCGATGCCACCAGGCCAAGAAGGCTCCTGCTGCAGCGGCTGCGGCGGAGGCCAACGAGCGAAAGGCGGCAGCAGCGACTGCTGCGGCTACAGCATCTTCGATGCAAGGGGCCCTCGGTAGGAAACTTTGCTACCTTCATCAGCCTTCGCAGATCTCAGAACAAGCATTTCGTAGTGACGTCGTAGTGGCACGATGGTTCATGGCTTATGTCAAACGCCGTACCCGTTGTTTTTGGCATGTTCAACAACATGTCGAAGCAGTGCCGCAGGCTTGTGTTCAGAACGCCGCCAGCTTTATTGGAGAGGTTGTTTCGACTGCCCGCTTGCCAGTAGGACTCATAAAGAACGGGGACTGGCCTCCAAGATCGAATCCAAGCCTGGTGGATAGCAAATCTGCGAACTCCGGTGTAATTAACACAAGTATCAGGACAGTTTAAGACAGTTCTAAACAAACTTCCTGTGTCGGCACAGCCGCACTACCAGTAGTGATGAACTCTCAGCAGTTGCAGGGAGTGGTCGCAAGCAATCTAGAATCTAGTTCGGATTCAGGCAGCGGGCAAGAAGCGCAAGAAGGAGCCGCCGTTTCGACATTGAGACCTAGGATGAGCAAGTCCGTAGAAGGGCGTGACATGCGCCTGGGAGTTCTGGAGTCACGTTGCTCGGGCTGAGCGGATGAGTGGCCATGATGCGAGCCTCGCACCCGCCGCCGCCGCCGCACCCCATCCGCAAACACCGCAAAGACCGAGGCCAACTCGTAGCTACCATCCATGAGCTTGGGGCTTCTCAATGCAGGACGAGATCCAAGAGACCGCGCCCGAGCCGGAGGAGGAGGAGGAGGAGGAGGAGGACCCGTCGCAACGTGGTAGCTGAGCCACGAGCTGCAGTGCGTTACACCAGGACGACGACACCCGGAAACTGCAAGAGGCTTGACCAAGTCTTCTCGTGAGCGCTGTTTACGACTGTCACAGCAGAGCTCATGGTAGAAGTGTTGCCTGCTGAGCCGGTTCCCCAACAAATGCTGCGTCAGGGTGTCGTGGAGGAAGAGCCAGGGGAGGCGCCGATGAGAGCCGAGAGATTTGTGGGACCTTCAACGACCCCTCAAGAAGAAGGTTGTCACTATCTGAGTGGAGCACAACTCTATCGTGCACACCGCAGGCGAAGGCAAAGCCGAAAGGGGCTTGCGCTGCCGAGGCAGGGAGCATGAGCTCTGAAATTCTTCGTTGCCTCGGCACGGGCGCAGGCGGCAGGTGTAACACCTTTTGCTGCCCAGTTGCATGCGAAGAAGTGCAGTTAGCAGGCTTTGGATGTGGACGACAGCGAGGATCACGGCGCCCTGGTTTGTTCACACAAGCAAGCTTAAGAATCGAAAGGGAGCTCCGGGTTATAATGTTGCGGATACGGATGTGAACGGCGGATCTGAACTGTTGCAGCGCAGTTGATCATGGCTAGGTGTATCACTCAGAAGCCAGATCCTAAGGCCCACCACAGAAAGCCGCTAAGCCGCTCGGCAAGAACAGGATTCCAGCATGCCTGCATCGAGACTTCATCGGCCTCGGTTAGCAGGCCTGCACCAATAAGGCTCAACAGCGGGAAGCCCGGCCAGGCAAGGCTAAGACTAGTTCTTCGGCACCTGCTCAGAAGATCGGCTGGAAGCTTGAATGCAGGTGGACCGGAGCCAAAGCCACGATCCAGGCCCCGTCGAGAGGGTGTACCCAGAGCGAGTGGCTGGCGGAACGCATGAGCAGGCGCAGAGTCAGAGCCCGAGAAGGCAGAGGCACGTCCGGAGCTTCCAAGCCCACCAACTCAGTCACCTCTTGACATGCACCTGATACCTAGCAATGAAGGATGGCAAAGAAAAGCCGAAGGACAAAGGCCCTTTGCGCGCACTTGTATTTAAGCTTGAGCTCCTTGTGGCGTTTGAGCTAGATGTGTTTCTGACGCATAGCTCCAAGAACTGTATGCAAGCAGCGACTTGTCCCAGGCAGCGTTGCTTTGCGTCTTTGATGGTAGCCTCAGCTTGAGATGTGAGTTGGTGTCCAGGTAAGGCCAAAGAGAAGACGAAAGAGAAAGGAAAGGACAAAGAGAGGCCCTGGCCCTGGCTTTGCCTCAGTGTCAGCATCTCTGCAAGCGTCGTCGATCTTCGGTCGTCAGCACTGGCAGTCACCATCAACAACATACGCTTGAGAACCACCATCGTCATCGCCTTCCTCTTTTGCATCATCAATACATCACCATCATCATCACCCTCCTCCTCATCGTCACCATCACCATCCTCATCACCACCATCATCATCGCCTTCACCATATTCACCATCATCGTCATCATCGTCATCATCATCACCACCATCACCATCACCATCACCCTCCTACTCATCATTGAATCATCGAATTCATCATATCCATCATCATCATCATCACCATCATCATCATCATCGGTACATTGGCCATAGAACGTGCTCACGTATCATGCTTGTCGTGAGGTCGCAGCGACTTGCTGTGTTTCTTCATGTTGCCAGTTGTGCTAGCGTCGTGGTAGGACGAACAACATGGCGTTTGCCATGCCTAGAAGAATGAACGGGGTTTTTGTGTTTCGCACACAACTGGACTTCAGCATGTATGGCTTTACAGGGTGGCCAAGCTTTTTCTTCAAGAGTCATGGCGACTCGCATTCGGCTGGCTGTGCAAGCCAAAGTCCTGCAACACAAGGTGTGTCTGGCACGGCCAACGCTCCGAGGGTCAGTCCAAAGCCTTGCGGTGTGGTTGGCAATGCCGAAATTGATTGAGTGCCGTGTTGTGGATGTGGAGGCTTCTTCGCCGGCATTTGTGCGACACTGTTCAGAACGCTTACTGGCCTCCCAATTGACCTGCAACATCGCTTCGGAAACAAACGCTCAAAGGGGTGGTGCACTTAGTTGCTGCAGATTCACAGCTGTTCAGGGGGCGAGGAAAGAAGAAGAAGGACAAGACCAGCTACAGCTATGAGGAGGACATCTGCGGTGTTTCGAGAGCCACGATAGATTTGCAATTATTCGAGTCTTTGCAAACTGCCAACTGCAGAGAACACCGTCACTAAGTCGGGTTTGGTGCGCTATGCCTCGTGAGGATTCTCAGAGCTCCGATGCTTCGGCGGCCCGGCGGAAGAAGCGCCGTGCGAACGCCGGGCTAAAGCCCGCCTCCGGTTCCCTGCCCTGACTTCGATTCAAGGCTTCGAGGCTTTGGGTGTCGCTTGGTCTCGCTTCGAGGCTTCGGGCTCGCGCCGCCCCCGGCAGCCGAGGCATCGAAGGGCAAAGCTTTCAGCTTTCCGTTTCTTAGTCTTTGCTCTTCGCTCTTTGGTTTGAGGCTCCCATGTCGGCTTTTAGCTCGGCCCCCACCCCCATGGCAGCAAGGGGCTCAGTGCCGGAGAAAAGACGCGCTTTTTTGTGTCAAAAGCTCAGACTCCTCCAACTGTCTGAGGTCCTGCCGGCACCTGTGGCGGGGCTTCTCACGAGCGATGTCGCCACCGACCTCCAGCGAATGCGCATGGCTGTCGAGGTGTCGGATTGCAGAAATGAGGGCACCGGTTCCGGCCAAAAACTCCGCTTACTAGAACATCTGATTACCGGAAATTACCGGCAAAGACTTGTCGCGTGCGAGTCATTTCGGAGGCTGCAACAGGCAAGACGATGGAGCCAAGGCAGGAGCAGGGTCTTTTCCGCTATGTTCGATTGAACAATCGCTATATTCAATCACTTGGAACCACCCGCCTGAATTAACCTCGGGGTGGGCGCGCGGGCGGGAAGACACAAACCTGAATAAGTGGCGCAAACCCACAGAAGGCAAACCTGTAATGGCAGTTCTGCACACAGCGTGAAGCGTGAGAGCCCCTGCCAGGCTCAAGCTCGACCAGCGAGAGGCACATGCCTGCAGTGCTGTGCAAGTCCAGAGTCCAGATGCGTGATCCAGCAGCCTCAGGAAGAGCGAGAGCAGAAGCTGAGCATGGCGGAGGATCTGAG